TGACAGTGCAACTGCTAAAAATTGGTGACATTGTTTCACATCATTTTGAGGATGATAACACATGAATTCAAGTGAAATGTGGCGATCTACCACTAAAAAAGTAAGTAAATAAATAAAAGTTGTAGCATGTGCAATAGTTTTTATTTGCAACTATATTTCTCTTCTGAATGAAAAAGAATCAAGTCATTCACATTAATAATATTACACATACAATATTACATGATTTTTAAAGTAAATTTTAAACATATAATTTATGTTTATAACTATAAGACATTAATAAGTCTGAGAGGAGAAATCAAGGAAATGCTTTTTGGCTATAATTTCTGCCTCAGTTGCGGTATACATGAAATTAAAATCCAATTCAATTGATGAATACATACATAAAAATGGAATGATATATCAATCAATAAGAGATTAGACATATACAATGTATTAATTGCATATAGGAGAACTAGATTAGGTTTATTAGATTAGATATGCTACAGAATAGTTGCAGATAACTACTATATGTCACATAAAGGATATATTAAAAGTATGTATGCTCACTCGTGTATCAAAAAGAAAACACTTTTGCACTGACAAATATAACTTTAATTTTCATGTGTTCTTTAACTTGCTAATGACACAGGAAGGTCTTGTAGCTAGAGATGCCTTTGCTACATTCAAGAATGCTTTACACTTGTATGTTCATCTGCCCCATCTATGGGGTTGGGCACAGTAAACAAGCAGAAATGTAGAATTCATTTCATTTTGAAGTACAAGCATTGATGAAATAATTGAAGAGTCATTGCTGGAGAATTATCAGTCTCAACTGTATACTTTTCACTAGAATAGTGATTGATTCAATAAAGTCAGAAATAAATGGATACTAAGAAAACAAAACAAGATGTCTATTAGTAAATACATCCCAGATTATAAGTAGTCCTCAATTTATGGGCTCAGAATGGATGCTTTACAGTCTGTAAAGCATCTCTGGCCATTATAAATGATCACAACCCCCTGCCCCGTGATCATGTAACCACATTTCAGGTGCTTCGCAGTCTATTTGCACTGACAATCAATTGCCAAATGCTCTGCAATTATGTGATCATCATTTGCCACCTTCTCTGCCAGTTTCCCCAGAAAGTCAATGGGGAAGCCGGTAGGAAAGGTTGCAAGCAGAGGGAACAGAACATAAGGGAATTTAAGTAATTCCCTTATGGCAATACAGTTCCATTACAAATGACAGTGTTTAAACTCCATGGAATGTATATATTGGATGAGATTTTATTGGTTATTTTTGTGATTATCAAATTAGGGAGAAGCAGCAGCAGCAGCAAGGAAGAATATGACTCATTAATGATTTTGCATGCATTTTGCACATTTTTTTTATAAATTTCACCAAGGTCCTCTGTTTTTAACACCCTTGACTGATGGGTAGTAGACAAGCATACACAAGGATAACTGGAGATGAAAATGCTCAGAAAAAAAAGGAACAAGATAGCAAAGGGAAATTAACGGCCATGCAGATGGATACAGAGTATGCAGAAGTAATACAAGTAAAATTTGCACACAGGGAAGGGGCTTAGGCATCCATAGAAAGGGAGCATACAGTGAGCCATGGTGGTGCAGTACTGCAGGCTACTTCTGCTGAGCTGGCTGCCTGTAATTTGGCAGTTCAAATCTCACCAGGCTCAAGGTTGACTCAGCCTTCCATCCTTCCGAGGTGGGTAAAATGAGGACCCAAATTGTTGGTGGCAATATGCTGACTCTGTAAACCGCTTAGAGAGGGTTGTAAAGCACTGTAAAGTGGTATATAAGTCTAAGTGCTATTGCTATAGGGAACAGATGATGACTCAGATCATGATATAAATCACATAATTTATATACTTGTGTCAGATATCAAATACAAGTTCTAAGTTACATCATTAGTGCTATGCATTTTGACATTGTGGCTTGTTATGGATATTACTCAAGGAAGTGAAGAACTGGAAAAACTTTTAAATATAAAAAGTGATGCAATTTTATAGAGTTAAATCCAGTGAAAAGTTAGCTACATTTAGGACATATTGAAATTAATGGATTAGTCACGATCAAGTGTTTTACTTTGACCTTAATAGGAACTAGATAAGATTAACTTACTTTCAATAGTTCAGAAAGTCTTTAAAAATGTTATCACAGCATAAACACAAAGTACCAGAGTTTTCTTTCTTATTAAGACCCGAGTTGGTCTTTTAGAAGGATGTCTTTCCGCCTTCATCTAGTCCTGCATATAAAGACTACACCTTAATAGAATTCTTGGCTTAAAATGGTCATATATGGAAACAGCAACTTGATAGCACATAATCAATCAATCAGCACTTGTCATAAAAATAAAAGCTATTATAGGAAATAGCATATATGGCACCCATTGATGATAACACACCCAACCTATTCCTTGGCACTTGGTCTTATCAATTTGTAAAATATTCCTTTAATTAGTAACATATGAATGGGAAACTCCATGCAAACCACAAACATGAATCTTATTTCCAAAAGTATTTTTGGTCTGTTTAGATCCCAGAGGCATTCTTAGAAAATAATGTGACTGATGACCGCAATCCAGAGTTTAGTTTATATTTTGCAAATAGATACTTTGTGACTGCCCATCATCATGCTGATAATCAGTTTTTGAGATCCCATAACACACTTTCAAAATTCTAAATATGCTAAGTGGTTCAAAAAGTTTGGGTACTCTGATGAAACAACTTTCATTTGTTTTATTAGTACATTTATGAATTATTACATATATAAACATTTAAAAAGAGCCTTTAGAAACAAAATGGCAAAATGTATAATTCAATCCACCCAATACAATTCAACCTTATCTATAAAACCACGTCTTATACTTCGATGGAATTGTGTGAATTTCAGTGTAAATTTGTTAAATTGAATTTAGGCTATTTTGCTTTACTTGTATGTAGACTATTTATAGAGTCAGTTTGGTTAAGTGGTTAAGGCATCATGCTAGAAACTGAAAGACCAAGTTCTAGACTTGACCTAGGCATGAAGCCAAGCTAGGGGACCTTGGGCCAATCACTCTCTCTCAGCCCTAGGTAAGAAGCAATAGCAAACCACTTCCAAAAAACCTCACCAAGAAAACTGTAGAACCACTTCTGGTAGTCACCAGAAGTCAAACCTGACACAAAGGGATAAAAAAAGGACAATCTATAGTTGTTAAGAGTGAAGTGCAGATTGTTATGCTATACAACAGGTGAAAAATAAAATAGCTTCCCTATTAAACTATAGACAGCCTAGAGACAAATAATATAAATAGGCTACAGTATATCTGATACTTATCGTGATATTTACTGTGTTTGGGAATTACTGTATATATTATCATGGTAACATACATGACATAGGAACAAATGAGTGTCATCACAGATAAGTTACCAAAAAGCTAAAACAGTTATTAGCTTTACAATAAGAAGCTATTTTCAACTTATTTCCTGAACCCAAACTTCATAAAATATACCCACCATTATGTAGACCAATATTATCCTACATATAACAATACTATAATAACAGTTTATATTAAATCCCACTGAATTCAATGGAATTTTCCCAGAAAGTACATCATTTTAAATTTCAGTATTTAAATATACTATTTCAAATCTGAAAATCATATTTTTTAGAAAATGCAACATACCACAGAGAAATACGTAATAAAGAAAAAACAGATTTATTTCTGCTGACAAACTTTGGGGAAAAAATTGTTTGAGAATTTTTTTTTTTTTTTCTGAGAAGACAGAAAGGAATATCTTGGATAAAGTCTACCTGTGCAAGAAAATCCCTGGACATCTAACACAAACATACTGGAAAGTGGGTACATTCTGGAATATTAGTTTCACCAATATGTGAGGATTAGAAGGAAGACAGATTCTTGAATTCTTTGCTTACAGATATACCTTTTCTGCAGACTTAGAAAAGTATGGAGAATGTCTTGTATATTCTTCCCACTTTTATATACATATTATGGAGAAATGTGCTCGGCAGCTCATATTTAGGCACGGAAGCAGCACTGCTTCTTAGACATGAAGATACAACTGAAGCTAAGTTGTTCATATATCAGGGACACAGCTACAGGGAAAACTGTTCGCTCACATCAATGTTATATCAAACCAGAGGTTAAAGAAATGTCATTTTTTATTTGCATAAGCTTAAAAATAAAATGAGCACATTATGGACTTCAAATGCCACAATCAGAAAAGAAGTGATTCCCTTATTCCAGGCTGTCATACATACACACACACACACAACACTCATTATGGTAATAATTATGAATGAATAAACGAATGCATGCATGCATTCAAGCACTATGGAGGAGTTAGAACGGGATGAGACTGCAATCTTTCCCTTCAACCCCAAAGGCAGGCATCATGCCTCATCTTTATAGTGAGTGCACAGGTGTGGAGGAAATTCTTCCTCTTCTGTCTGCCACTTCGTGGTGGAATTTCCCGCAAACGATGAAGAGTGCTTATGGCTAAGGAAGAATCGCCAGAGCTCTCTTCAAGAGTAAGAGGAGTAAGTAGGACCTAGAGTAGTGTGAGGGTTTCTAAGGGTTTTCTTTTTAACTCCCGGCGCCTCTCGCTGCACAGCCCTTTAACGCCAGAAGTCCTTCTTTAGCAAACTACCAAGCTACTGAACGTGGCACGCAGACCCGTCCACGAACAAAGTAGTTCCCGGAGAACACCCGGTGAGCAGACTTTCTTTCGCACGGAACATTGTTCCGCCACCCACGAGAACGCAGCCTCCGCTTCCCGTCTCATCCCGCACCTCCGGCACTCCGAGGCACTGACTCTGCCCACGCGCAGCTCCGCACGGTCACTCCAGCATCCCCTACCGACTGCAACAATGCAAAGAGCTCGGGTCGGGAGTGGGCTGCACTAGGCGCCTCCCCGACTCGCCCCGGGAAGAGCAGCCAGCCAGCCGGGCGGACGGGCCGGCCCCGCCGCACGCACAAAGCCTCGGGTCGCACCTACCAGGCGGGCAGCCTCGGCCCAGGTGCGGTCCTTCTTCTTCCTCTTGTCTTTCATGTTTGCATCTCATTGAGATGATTCGAGGGGGGCGGGGGCGGAATGGAACGTGCAGGGACGGGGCGGGGGGAAGGAGGGGGAGCCCGAGGGTCCCGCACAGACAATGATACGGTGACGTGGAGTTCTAGAACCCCTGCGGGAGGGGCGTGGGAGCGACAGGGCGGTGGAGGGTTGGGCCGTCTCGGGCTCGCACTCCCGCAGTAGCGGCGGCGGCGACACAGCTGACAGTTTGAGGGATGCTCCGCTACGCAAGTCACAACAATGCACTATGACGTCACATAAGGGAATGGCGACTGCACAAAACATCCCAGCCGAGGCGGCCGCGCTCGCGAGCAAACCGCACGAGACGCAGAGAAAAGGCCTGCCACAGATCTCGCGAGAGCTCGGGAAGACCCTCTCTATACAACCCACTCCTGTCTCCCTCCCCGCTGCCCTGTTCGTTTTACAAATGGGGGGGGGGGGAGAGAATCGTTAAACCAAGAAGACTACATGTCCCAATGTGCAATACGCCCGAGCGCTGCGTTTGTGTTTGTTACGAGTACAGCGTGTGTTTTCGTTTTAAAGGTAATCGTTTGTATGCTGGGTCTTGCGGGAGCTAGGAAAGGAAAGGAAGGGGTTTGTTTTCTCAACAGTACATCCCCCCGGGGCCGGTTCCAGGTGGGGGCGAGGCCCCCTCTATAAGAGTTGTCGGATGCTCTTCCATCGTATTCGTCTCCAGCAAACCCAGGGTAGCCGGGTAAGCCAGGCTTGACCCCCCTCACCTGCTCGCCCCCTCCCAGCCTTAACTCCTTACGGCACCAAACGCCGAAAGAAGGGGGCGTGTCGGGTGGATCCGCCCTCCACCCACCACCGCCGCCTGCTGTGCGTTCTCCCAGATTTCGGTCTCCGTGACCAGGTGCGGAATTTAGGAACACGGCTGTCGGCAGCAGATGGCTTATACTGCTACCGTTCTATATACTCATCCAGTTATTAGAAAACTAGAGAAGAACCAACCCTCCCCCCCCTCCTCCGCTTCAATGAACAGAGAGGTAAATAGACCTGGGGACAGGTTACCTCTTCCCTTCTCTCCCGGATTCCGGAGAAGTTCGCGATACGAATCACTAGATTTTGTCAGCGTTAGAAAATCCGAAAACTTTTTTTTTTTCTCTCTGAGTTGAGTCTTCAACGATTTGAGTGTAATTCCTACCTGCATGTCGCTATTCGCTCCTTACCTAGCGCTTGTAACTTTCCTCTCTTCCGCAGTTATGTCTAGGTCCCGATACATTCTGAAAGTTCGCTGTGTCGTTGCGGGCAATAAAAGAATGTGGCCGCTGTTAATTGAGATATCAGCCAAGTCTATCTCGTTTAACGAAGAAAACCTAGGTTTTGCAAGTGTTAACAACTTGGGAACATTTTAGATTCAAAATAGTTTGCCATTTTTAACATTGTTGCATGGTCTAGTTAGAAAATAAAATAGTATAGAAGCTACTGTCTTGAGCCAGGATCAGAGAAAGGGCTGTGTAAGTTTATTCTGCTTAGAGATGATTAGGTAAGCATGAGCCAAGCAATGTTTTTCTGTCTTGTCCAATATAAGTTTGCTGTTTGAGAGTATAGTGGGAGGAGGGGGGACACACCCATACCCCATATATGATTCTTTGAGCTCTCAAGAGAAAGTCATCTATGAAAGCAATGTAATGATTATTAAGGCAATAGTAGCAGCTGTAGCAATGCTATGGAGTTATGTAGATTTTAACAAAATCCACAATAGAAATCCAGAATAATGATGTTTGGCAATTATGGGAATGTGACAAATGGACTGGGGCACTGTGATTTCAGTGGAGTACTGAAGGCTGGTCTGATTTTTTTATTTTGTTTTGCAGATTCAGTAATGCTCAGTTAAGCACTGAACAATTAATCAATGACACTAATGCCATAACTGGAATTCTAATAAAGAGGAGATGGTAATTTAGGTAACCTTATGTCTTTCACTTCTAATTTTAGTACGCAAAAGTTTTAATCAAAACTTTAAAATTAGTAATTTTATTTATTGTTCTATTCATGGTTGCTCATTCTTTGGTCACCTCCCAGATAGGCTACTGTAATGTACTCTACATGGGGTTGCCCTTGAAAAGTATCCAGAAGTTCCAGCTGCTACAGAATTCAGTGGCACAGGATATGTGCTCCTAGAGCAGCACACATATCTCTGCTCTATGAGCTGCATTGGTTGCCAGCTTGCTTCTGGGTCTAATTCAAAGTGTTGGTTTTGACCTTTAAAGCTCTTCATAGCATGATATTATTTAAGATTAAGATAACCTTTATTGTTATATTTTATTGTGAGTACACTGGCACACATTAAAAATGAAATTGTTGCCTGTCCTCAAAAGAAAGTATAAATCTACCCATTCACATACATCACACATGCTGTATACATACATATATATCTACACCCACCCACATACACACACAGAGAGACATATTAATCACTGTCCATTTTGAATACATAGCACAAAGAGGAAACTTGAGAGTTCACAAAGTTTTGAGGGACTGCCTCTTCCCAATTATTTCTGCCCATCTTGTCAGTTCTGGCAAAAGAGGGAGGTTGTAAATCCCATCTGTTAGAATTAATTATGTTAGGACCCAGAAGTTGAGGCTTTTCTGCCATGGTACTCCCTATGGAACATTATCTGCCCGAGGTGAGATTTGCTACATCTCTCTGACCTTCTGGAAGTCCCTTAATATCTGATTATGTGACCAATCCTGGGGTTTGCAAAGGAATAGTAATTTGATAAGGTAGCTCCATTGTTTATAATCTAATGGTCTCTCTTAGCCTTTATAATATTTTTTTATTTTTTTGAAAGTTTCTGAAATAATTATAATTGTTTGTATGCCAGCAAGAATCATGATATATGAGATCAATCAATTACATCAATAAAATAAAAATAAATCAGTAAAAGTTGACTATTTATGCAACCCTGTACCTCTGCTGTAACTCAACCAGGACCTTCAATTATTTCTTTTTCTATAACCTTTTTATATCTCAACAGCCAATACATTCATCATATCTTCTGTCTGCTATGGCTTCCTTGTATGGAGGGGCAAGGTGACATTTATGACTGTGGACCAGGTCAAGGTCCCTTGATGCTGTGAATTTGTAGAAGAGACACAATTACATTCAGCATTCTTTGTTTAATCAGTATTCTAAATATTAATTGGTTAAGCAATCTAGTTAATGAATGAAATATTACATTATTTTGGAGATAACATAATTTTTGTTATCTCCAAAATATTGGAGATGTCAGAGTTGGTTTAGTAGGATACAACTGTAAGATTACTTGAGATATCAAAGAACAGATAATAAAAGAAATTAGAATGTCATTCCTATTGCTACGAAAAAAGAAAATCCTAGTCTTAATATTTGTGGATTTCCTTATATATTCCTACTGTTGATAACATTGCTGCTTTCTTTTCTTTTTTATAATCTTTTGGGATAATTGTATAATTATTATTCTGTACATAATTATTGTTGTGCAAAATATTTACACATAAACTAATTTGGATTATAAATCATCTGAGGTTTCCAACTGACATTAATCTGAGCGTTAGTTTAAATATAGCAAGAAATTGTAGTTTAAGCCATGAGATTCTTTGCGAAGAAACCAGTATGTGATGACAATGGAATTTTTGAATTTGACAGTTCATCCACCTTCATATACCATTAATTCAGGAATTATTATATGAAGTGAATTAGTGTATCAGAACTGAAATGAGAAATATTTGTAGTTATATCTTATCACTACAGCACAACTAATGTATTTAGTGCCTGCATAGAATAGTTTTTCTTTTAAGTGATTTTTGTTTTATAATTGTTTTCAATATTATATCTATTTTGCATCTTTTGTATTTTATGGTTTAAATCCTCATAGGGCTTATTGTTAATAGGTACCATAAAAGTGTTGAACATAACAAATAAATGAAGTATTTTAAAACTATTACTTCAATGTATTTGTTGATAACCATTTATATCAGCAATAATGCTGATAGGAAACAATGATCTAACATTCATTGCTTCCATTATATAATTCTTTTCCTAAAATTTTGAGATTACCAAAGGATAAAAAAACTAAGATATTTTGTAAGAAGGTATACAGCAGGTAATAAAGGTTTGTGAACTGTAGGTTGTATAGGTTAATCATTCAAACAACTGGTCATTAGGTTACATTTACTAATTTAAAAAACTGTTGGACAATAGAGGGAGGTGAGAGAATGTTCATATCCATTAAAAGATAGTATTACTTTTACAGCTCCTGGCTATATGTTGTCGGCTCATTTGTATTTCAGAATTATTTTTTCTGCGGTTTTCAGCAATAATGCCATCATTATTTGTGCTAACTCATAATTATTAAAAACAACCAGAAGAAAAAAAATCTGCTTCATGGTTTATATTTTGCCCCAACTATGTTAGCAAAATATGCACATAGATTTGATAGACATTTACTGATTGAGCAATTATGCAGATTTACTTCTAGATATACATCCTTCCAAGTATATACTTGGTGTACTAGAAGCTATTGTAGCCCTTGGCAGAATACTAGTAAAAGACTGAGCACATACATTTTTATGGCACTTTAGATACTTTCAAATTGCCCTAAAAACATTTCCACTAGTCAAGAATAGCATAATGCCATTTATCTTAAGCTGGTTGAGATCACGTGACTGCCTTGCCATTTGGCCAACTCAACATATATTTAAGCTGCTGATGTAATTTCAGGCACACTTTATCTGACCCCCTGATGCATAATAAAATCCACTTGGCACTTGTTTAAAATTCAGAAATGTGGCTTATTTTTAATATTGAAAATTATTTTTATACTATAACCAATTTGTTACATTGGGGATTCCTCATATTTGAATTAATATTAAATAGAGGCTGACCTTTACATTTAACTATGTTAATTCAGACTGTTACCTTCAAAATGCTGTATCTTTCTTCTTCTTTATTGCTTCAATATGATTCAGAATGTGACAAGAGAAACTGAAAAATTGTTTCGGAGAAGAAGAAATTTCATGAAGCTGCACTATTTATATTTCAAAGGCAAACATTTCCTTGATTTAAGGATGTGAAGGTGCAAGTTAATTTTCCAAAGAAATTATTATATTGAATAGTATGTTGCAGTTCAGAAATAAAAGATACACTATATCCACTTTTCAAGATTGGCAAGATCAAGAAAAGGCTGGGCAAGGATTTCAGGAATGGTCTTGTTGTAGGGCACAATAATAAAATTTTGAAAACCTGTCAGTTTTCCCAAACCATCTCTTTTACCAAACAAAATCAATGTGACATTATTTTAAATTTCTTTCTCATACTTTCCTTTTTCTCAGTACTGAGTTCTTTGCTTATTTCTTTTCCCAAATCAGGTTTACATTCGTTCACACATAATCAGTGAGTAAATTACTTATTAATTATAGCTAAACTATCTTTTCTTTAGCATTAGTTTTTCATTTTACCTTTCTAACAACAATGTATTATATGAGCTAATATTTTATTGCTAAAATAAGATGAAATAGTATACAAGATTAAACAGATGTGACTTAAAGACAAAGCACAACACCTAACAATTTTTGGCTCCATTTATAATAATCCCATATAATCTGTCTGAGGAGGAATGGGCATTTGCTCTTCAGTAATGTTAACCCTTAAATTGCTCATACAATTTTTCTGCCATACCAAACACGAGTCTGTTAATAAATTAGTTTTCTTAGGGTTACCTGCTGTATCTACTGCAGGTAACCCAGCACTCCTTCCTTTTTATCGCTTCTTTGTTGTAAGGTTTATTTCCTTAGGTCTTACCAGTATGTATTGAATGTGGTTCTTTCTCCACCTCCAGATTTAATTTAAAATTTGACAAATGACCTCAAAAAATTATCTTCCAAACACATTCTTAATCTTTCTAAGTGCCAGACTGTCTCTCACTTAATCTTGTATAGTATAGACCACAATCCAGGAATCCAAAGTTTTTGTGGTGACTCCCCCAGACAGTTCAGAAGATGAACCAGTCCTAGGCATATCAGAAGGGGAATTAGTCAATGGCTCCAGATAGCTGGCTGAGAGTGATTTGGCTGAAGCACAGCTGCAGCAGGACAACCCTGAGGCTTCAGATGCAGAAAGCACACAGCTTCAGCTGGTTAGTGATGAGGAGAAACTACCTTCTGCACCTGATCTGAGAACAGGTAGGGCAGAGAAAAGACTGGCAGTGAAGGTCAGCTTGATTACTTGTAAAGAGACAGTCTCATTCCTCTTGGACTGCACCAGAAGCTGTCTATTTAGCACAGCAGACAGATGGAGACAATGCAGAGTACATGTTCATTTCCTAGCTGCGTGTTTCCTGGTTATGATTCCTGCCTTCACTTTAGATCATACCTTGTGAACTCTGGACTTTTCTTGCCTCATGAATACTTGTGTGTTGTGGATTTAATTTTTCCTGGGGGATTTGTCTTGTTTGGGAAACTTTCAAGTGTCTTGTGGACTCATTGGCCATTGCTTTGTGGACTAGCATTGGTCTGCCTTTGGCTGGACTTAATTGGGGCAGTGCTGGATTTTTGGTGAAGAGAATTGCTGGGGAATATTAATAAGCTTACTAAACTTATTAACTTATTATTAGCTTATTTAATTGGGCCAAACTGTTATAATAATAATTTTAATTAGCAATTTTATGATGTTTGTGTATCTATATTTTTTCTTGACTGTACACCGCCTTGAGTCCTACGGGAGAAAGGTGGTATAGAAATATAATTAAATAAATAAATAAACAAACAAACAAACAAACCACTGTTACGTGTGTGAGTGAGTGGTGTACAGCAGTTTCCCTATTAATACTATCCCTTGAACCAGTAGTTCACCTCCATAATTTTTTGATTCTTTCCTTGAGTAATGTCCTTGAGTTGAGATGGAAATATGGATAAAAACACCAAA